TGTTTTTATACCTAATTGTAAATTTTTCTATTAGTAACCGAAAGCTGTAAGTTTATTATGTAAACAGATAAGATTTTTAATGACAGACGGGGTCACATCTGCGACAGGGACCATATAGAGATCATATGTCGAACAAATGCTCGGAAAGCACCCAACGCTTCGAGACAAATGACTCTCCAAGTGGATCTAATGATGCAAATGAATTATAGTTGTGGGAAAACAATATTTAATTAATTAGTACAGTTTTCTGTTTAAAAATAGGAGATATTCTTCCACATTGACACATATTATTCAAAAGCACGGTTGTCCTCAACTTCTTCGAGCTCTTTGGAAGATAGTATGTCACATTTTATTGAAATCAGATAACAGAATAATGGTGATCATTTGTCATGTAGTCAGGAACACAGGAATCTCACATTCAAAGTACCCTGATTCAAAGCTGGTTTCCACGCTTTCCATAGCGAGGTGTTTCGACATAACTGAGAGCCATTTGAATAGTACAGAACGGAAACGGGAGACTATATCCGGCATATGCGCGTTTGGTCTAATTTACCTATTTAGTGATCACATTATCCTATTTAACAGTACAGCACCTTAGGGTGGAGTCCAATTTTCTTGAATGACTGATCAAGGTACCTGAGTGTTTTGCTTGTGTGAAAACTGCCTATCTTGACTGATTTTACCTCACGTTTTAAAATGATAAAGGACGTGTCGAGGTAGTAAGGTCAAAAGGCGATATTAAAGGTTATTAATTGCCATCAACAACCAGAGCATCGTAGCGATTGTCTACCAAGAGCAATGTGGCTCATGAAACAGCGATCGTTACGTCATCGTGCCATGAATCGATTATGACTCAATGATATTTATCCTTCGTGTAACAGACGGCCCTAGGATTGCGAGGTTTTTGTGGCAATTCGAGAAAAAGCTTCTTCCAGCTATTACTCACAATAGACAAAAGACGATTTGCAACTTTCTTGTCGTTTGTTAACTTCATAAAAAGACATTCGGTTCATACATCATTCTCTGGTACTAACAAATATAACTTAGCCGTTGCTCATCGATCGATCAACAATTGTGCATGTTGGTGCGACGATCAGGTCTTTAACTTAAGACGATTTTTGATAAACATTGTTGAGACCAATTTAGGGAGAATTAGCTTGCTTTGAGAGGATTAAAAACATATTTTATTGTTTACAGTCAGTTCAATATTTATTTTTGAGTCAATAAGACAATAGCAAGTTGCACTGGATAGAGTATATGATGAACAAAGGAATTACGTAGACAAGAATATACAAAGAAACAACAGGAACGTTTAGCGGAAGGAAGAGTAAAATCAGTAATGAGGAATGAGCAGTTGGACAATCGGCGTGTGCTCATGTTTGGGATTCAGTAAGTATCAGATGATAAAGGGTAGATCCGATCGTCCGTAGGTTTACTACTGCAGACAGCAGGTCTGAATTGGTTTCTTGTTGACTGTAACTTAGATCACCAAGCTGCTAGTGAATCATACATTGAATATTTTGGACTATCGAATATCCTCATGCCAGGTAGAGTCGCCGATTCGGAAGCGTTTTTATCGATGATATCCATCTGTTCGTTAGATCTCGAATATTCGGTAAGGCTGCCATTGTAATAGCTTCCGGGTCAAGTTATGGAACTATATTGACTATACATATTGTATTAAAGGCCCTCTGCATGTCTTCGTTAGACACTGTAGAATTTTTGACGGTACCTGAACTTGTTTCAGCCTCCGGATGAATAAGGCAGCTTTCGCTCTATCTGAGCGACGCTTGGAGCGTGCTGCGACTGCTTTCCCTACTGCAGGTTAGTCTCAAGAATAATATCGAGGTATTTGACTTATGATTTTTTACAGAATTCATCGCTGCTCACGACTGTTCCATTTTGACTTAACGCTTAAGACGCACTGGAAATTCAACAAAAGAAAATTTCAATGTTATTACTCAATCGTTTTAATTTGGATCATTTGGACCAGCCGGTTATCAGCGACGAATCGTGACGACCACAACATATCCCTCATTCCTCGTAGCTTCGTGTCTTCTCGGTTTATTATATATTATTCTCTCGGCCATATTGGATGACCAAGCGGCCATGTCAACCCTGGAGGCTATTAATCGATGGTCATTGCCGACCTTCTTTTGTCGATAAGCCAAGAAACGTTCCCGGCACGCCGCAGATTCTTCCTTTTGCTTTCGACGACAACTTCCTTCACTCTCGTCGGCTGTCTGATCATTGTGTCAGGGGATATGTCGCGACGTGAAATTCCCAATATTCTTCTTACTATGGCTCTCTCCGTGACAGATAACTGGTCCTCTTCATC